TAATGGACCGGGCAACTATGGCTAATAAATAAGAGTAACAACAACTAGGGAGTTAGAGGGCGCATTGGCATGAGTCAGTGTTAACATGTAGGGGGATGGGATATTAGTAAAAGGCCTATGGTTAGGGGGCTAGAAGTAGCAGGGCCAATATTGAAGGCGTTTCAGGTAGGGGTTAAACGTAGTAGTCAACAGCTAGAGGTTTACGGGTACATTTGTAGGAAGCCCATCGTTATGATCAAATGTTTAGGGGATTAAAGGTTGAAAGGCCCATGGGTATGTACATGTATGGATAGGTACATGTAGAAAAGGAGTATTTGTTTGTTAAGGATTTAATGACTCATATGATGACTGATGCCTAGGGAGACACCGCCACAAAGAGATAGTAGGGTGCGGGGTGCCCTACATAAGTCACCGTTAACGATACATATGCAGAATTTCCTTGGTTTCTTTTAAGTACTCTTAACATGTACAGAGGACAACGAAGAAACAGTCCCAATTCTGCAGGATAGGGGGGTAGGGAGAGCACATAACTCGCCTCTTACCATCATGCAGTGGGATACAGCAGGGACATTAGTACACGTAGATAAATTTAAGTGTTGTTGTGGTGTTTTTATTTTATAAAATTTGTGTTTGGACATAAGTACACATCTTAAAAGCTACTGCTAGGGACATTAGTACACGTAGATAAAGTTCACTATTTTGATGTTTCAAATTTGTGATTGGGCATCCACACTACCCATAAGCTCCTGCTAGGGATGTAAATTGAAGTTTTTTCCATGCTTTGAATTTGAAGTTCAACATATTCGTATACACTACCCAAAAAACTGCTGCTAGGTTTCGTTGTATGTACAATCATGATCATACCAACCAAAACCTGCAGTAAGTTCTTAGTATATATTCACCATTTACTTCAAACTCTGATCTGAAGCACTAAATAATGATTTGATATATACTACCTAATTAAACCTTGTCATAAGGTACAGATCCAGACATACAAGGTCACCTGTTTTATTTTAAATTTCATCTGTACCCCAAAACAACTTCACAAAGTAAAATATACTTCATTATTTGTAAAACTCACAGGAAAATGTGTCTGTCAGTCTATGGCTATTCATGCAACTGGGTACTGACAGCACCGCTGCACAGAATTTTTATGATATTTGCAAACAACTTAATCTTTCTTGTAACAAGCATTTTCATTGGCTTAAAAGTTTATGTTATCAGCCCATAACGTAAAAAATGACGTCGCCATTTGTAACGTCGCTTTTGATTGGCTAATACAGCGGCGTTATAATTACTGAGAGAAAAGAGTGTATCAATAGAAGTGGATTTCCACAGGGATTGTGTATAGTAGATTAAATTATAAGGATTGACTTGAATATATTTTATGTTATGGAGCAATAACACAAAAAACAGGAGTGTACTCTCATCATAAACCGCTTGGCGATGTGTGTTATATCTCCATAACAAAAAAAATATATTCAAGTTAATCCTTAATTATACACAAAATCCTTAAGTGTACATTATTGAAGTAATGTAATCAAGAAATTGTTTACAGTATTTTCCCTAGACCTATTCGCAGCCTGAAACGCAAAACGACAAAATTCAGACTACATTTTAGTCTGTTTCACACATTTCAGGTACCAGTGAAACAGCAAAATCAAATATTTCCAAAAATATAAAAAAAAAATCCCTTAAGCAATCGCTTCGATTTATAATTCAAGAGGCAAATGGGCCTTAACGGTCACCTGAGTTCTGATATATTTATACAGAGAGTTGATTGTTGTTTTAAAAACATGAACAAAAATATTATTCAAAGTGACAAAAAAACAACAAAACCACCTTATTCAATATCTAGCATACATATTTAAGACTGAAATGTATTTGAAACTAGCACCTCTGATTATAAACAAGTTTTAGCACACTGACTCCTTTGGGCCCCGCCATATAGCCCTTTGGGGTAGGGCTGGCTCAAAATTTTCAAAGTATCAAACTGTCAACTCAGGGCTATAATTCCAATCAAGTAATCAACATGTAATATCCATAATAAATGTCCCCACCCTCCATGCCCCAGGGGTAAACGTGAGACCCTAGGGTCATAAAATTCACAATTTTGGTAGAGCACCTTAAAACCCTTTCATCTTTGAAGAGTATTTGATTCTACCATATCTGGGTCTTGAGAAGAAGATTTTGAAATTTCAGTCAATTTGACCAGTTTTGGCCCGACCCATTAGCCCCTGGGGGTCAGTCAGGGCTGAAATGTGCATACCATCGAACTGCTATCCAATACTGATAATCCTAACCCAATTTGAATTACTTTCAATGGAAATTAAACAAATGTTGGTCAAAAATGTGATATCCCTATATAAACTATAGTAATGTTTACCCCTCCCAAGGGGGGAAACGTGATACTCCGTTGTCATGAAATTCACAATTTTGGTAAAGCACCTTAAGACCCTTCCATCTATGAAGAGTATTTGATTCTACCATATCTGGGTCTGAGTAGAAGATTTTTGAAATTTTAGTCAATTCGACCCTTTTTGGCCCACCCATCAGCCCCTGAGAGTCAGTCAGGGCTGATATGTGCATACCATCAAACTGCTTTCCAATACTGATAATCCTAACTTAAGCAAATTTTAGTCAAAAATGTGATTTCCCTATATAAACTATGGTAAAGTTTACCCCCTTCCCAAGAGGAAACGTGAGACCAAAGGGTCATGAAATTCACAATTTTGGCAAAGCACCTTAAGACCCTTCCATCTATGATGTGTATTTGATTCTACCATATCTGGGTCTTGAGAAGAATGTTGTTTTTAAATTTCAGTCAATTCGACCAGTTTCGGCCCAACCCATCAGCCCCTGGGGGTCAGTCAGGGCTGATATGTGCATACCATTAAACAGCTACCCAATACTGATAATTCTTACCCAAGGTGAGAGTTGTTTCCACATCTAAATCTCGAGTAAATTACAAAATCTACATCCAAGTTCTCTAGTATCTAATACATAGAACCGCTATTTTGCCAACAGTTTTCGATTAATATCGTCTCATATTTTTTACAGAAAAACTTACCTGTAGAAAGACAACAAACGTCTAGCTATCGTTCAACATTTTCACATGTACACAACTATACAGCTAATTACCTGGTCAGTCGGCTGTCATGTGTAACAATACACCACATACGTGTACTCGGCTCAAATTGGCAATATTAAACGAGGTCAAAATGGTGTGATTTTAACCATTTGTTTCGGAAATATGATGGCAATATGTGGGTTTGGCGTTAAACGGGTGCAGTTACGTTGGAAGAAATCCATTCGGAGTGAATTAATGGAGGTATGCAGGTTTGGCAGTTTAACAGACGGCATTGCAACGGTGCTTTACTGTATTTGGCTGCTAGCTTCCTGAGAAAGAGCCTGACAACGTTTGAGAAGAAAAATGACCTCAACATACTTTCAAGGTCATAGGAATAGATTATGTCAAACGCTTCAAACGACTTCCTCTGAAAAACTGAAAAATACAATGAAACTGACCCTGTCCTACTTACAAGGTCACAGGAATCAATCATCATGCGTGTCAACGCTTTAAACAACTTCTGAACAACTGAAAGGTATTTAATGTTTGTATACAAATTTGCATTTGAAATATTTGTAACTCAGTATAATATTTAACGAGAATACTTTGATAAGACTGCTTAAATATCCAGGTGAGCGATACAGGCCCTCTTGTTTCATCAGCGTTGACGAAATTCAACAGGTATAACACCCTGTCTCATTGCAGGTATAATACGAGATAATTCCACTGTAGTTTTCTATACTTACAGTAACATCCCCGTTTTTGGTTTTACATATAACTGAGCTCGGGTTGAGCCAGGGATCATCATCTGATCAAGCAGATCAATTGGTTAAATCGATCATATTAAGTATCGAAGTCCAGGGTCGAATCTCGGGCTGTCATCGTTGCTGCTTTTGGTATATGTTTTGTTTATTTCATCTCATTTCATTTTCTTTGTAACAAGTCCGAATGGTATAGTTTTCTATTGAAAAGTGAAGGATTATTATTTCTTCATGCACACTAAAACTAAGTATCAAATCCATAAAAGTACTGCATTTTGTTCGCGATACGGTGATTATTTAATGGAAACATGAATCTATTTTGTAAGATGTGACCGATTGCGTACACTGTACAATGTTATGTAATGTAATGTTATTTTCATGTTGATATCACATCTTTTAGTTGTGTTTACTTACGTGTTATATACATTTTGTGTGTAACTATTTGGAATCAGTTATAAAAAAAAATTCATGTTATTAATATCACATCTTTTCATTGTGTTTACTTACATGTACATGTTGTATACATTTTGCGTGTTACTATTTTTAACTCTTGATAACGTAATTTATTTTCATATTGATATCATCTGTTTAATTGTGTTTACTTATAAATTACGTGTTGTAAACATTTTGTGCATAACTATTTGTAATTGTAATGAAATGTACTTTATTTTCACGGTGATTTGATATCACATATTTTAATTGTGTCTACTAACGTGTATACTTGTGTATGACCATTTGTAATATTGCTAACTTCCAACGTACATACGTCATAGGTGTACTATGTTGCAACAAATTCAGATGAGGAACGCCTACGTCCCATTTTAAGCTTACTTTACAAGGATACATTCAAGATAATAAACAATGACGCTACAATGCATCTGTACTACTAGTCAATACAATGGTCACGATAAAAATGAGAAAAATAAAATTACATACAATTTTTGGGGCAAATCTTCCACATTATGTATATTTCTGAGCATATTGGGAAAATCAACTGTTCGGCATCCACCTTTGTCAGAAGATGTACAATAATAGTTTAAAGTAGAAAATAAATAATCTCCAAAGTGCAGCTTTTTTACAAAACAAGTATTGTTACCACTGTTTTAAACCGTCCATTAATATAGGTAAAAGTTACAATTATGGATAATCATAGTGATGGTATACGTCATGTTAATGTTTAGCTTGAAAGGCTTACGTGACATTAATAGGCCAGTCTAGTATCGGACAACCATTTGACCCTATTGACTAGTTTTTATATTGTCATGTATCGGATTTTCAAGCATTTAAAAAGGTACACATATATATCTTTTTTTTCACTACAAACAAATGTCCTGTAATGCTTCTCAAAGTTGATTTAAGCATTTACAACAGGCTGCAAGCAGAAACCATATCCATTCGTTTCCGATGGTTTTCCTGTAGAACATGTTATCTGCCAGCGTACATGTACATCCCATATTGCAGTCGCCAAATTCGCTAAAGAAAACAAAGAAAAAAGCAAATTTTGATAAAATTAACCATTTGTGACCATACCTTCCTTGAGCATTAATATGATACTGGCAATAAAATGGTTAACATAAGTAGTCGTTGAAATAGTTAGATAACATTTGTGTAGGATAAAAAATATTTTTGAGTACAATTTCAAGCTTCATAAATTATATGATTATGCTTGCTAAAATGTCTATGCTTGCTAAAGAATATGAGAATTATCAATCAGGCTTCAACTATACTCACACGCATGTTTCCGTCGGGAAATACTGTCCAGGAGCCTATTGTTGTTCATTTCCATATATGTCTGTAACCTTAGTAGGATTTAGGAATCTCGGACTTCTGAAAAATTCAAAAGACTCTATATACATATGCATGTAGTCATACTGTTAAGTAACTAGAGACATGTCGTGGCGTGAATTCAAATTTAGATTATAACAAAATGTTCAGAATAGTTTCGATGCTTACTGTATTGATTTACAAATATGTATACATGTATAACTAAGTACACGTATATTTACTTACGATTTGCAGCAGGCGTGGTAGTCAAGGTTTGTATAACACATATCCCCTTTACTTCCTTACAATCCTCATTAACAGACATTACTTCACTGATGTTAACCCAACGATAACTGATTTCCTCGCGCCGCTTCCTGTCTTTGGCAGAATGAAATATCCAGGCGTATCCGTCCTACGGAGACAGTTTAATTTTCGGTTATATATCAGTATAGTATACGTAAATTGATTATTTATAATGCTGTATGATGCATAAGCATACTAATACATGTTAAAATTTTATTTTCATACTATTACCTCTTTTAAATACCTCCGGTTTTCACATGTGTGAGCAAGCACAGATGTCGTTTTGTTTGTTGTTTTGTTTGTATTGGGATAACGTCTTCTTGTCAGACACTGTCATATGAGCATAGATGCCTAGGGAGACATCGTCAGGAGCCGAAAGTAGATAGGAAAGAAGTAGATAGGGAACGAAAAAAATCCCCAATATGGCAATATTGGTTTTAGGTTAATTTTAGTCTTTTCAATATCCTCTTTGTAAAAGACCAGGAAACAAAAACGATTCTGTTGAGGGCTGTACATTAGTCGCCTTTTACGATACACACGTTATGGAATAAAACTGGTGTATTATTGAATTCCTCAATTTTCCCTAAAAAGATGCAAGGAAGAAACCGACCCGATTCAGAGGGGCCACACTTTAATCGCCTCTTACAACCATGCAGTGGGGTACAGCAGGCATACTGTTTCCTCCACCCTGCACGGGTTCGCAGATGTGGTTCCTACATAAACATGTGATGCACTAAGGCTATACTAAGATATCCACCTGCAAAGTCAAATATCTGAAGCTTATGAATATGTAACTGGCACCTTTGAAATTCGGTAATATATACAGTTTTCTAAACAATGAATTAATTGCACCGTACAGCTGTTCATAACGTGCCTAATGACCAGATATAATATTTGACAGAGCAAATCACATAAATTGGAGATTGAAAGAAATTGGTTACCCCACATCCTTCTGGTCTCCTGCCTCCTGACCAACTAACACAAGTATCGTAATCACCAAAATCACTATCGACACAGCAGCATGGGCTCCACCCTGCAAAAAACAAAAATATAATATATAGTCAAACCTTAGTAAAGTGGTCATATTT